CTGCTTTGTTATTGGTGCTACATTTGAAAAACAGTATGTACAATTTAAAAATAAACAAAAATAAAGAATAAGCTTTTCTTTCAACTTGTATACATTTCTCAAACATAAAACTGACAAAATTTTCACTTGAAATGCAACCTGTAGCCTAGTCAATGGAGTAATATTGATACTGGTATTGGTATCAGTTACAAGTGGGCCTTTTGTACAAGTATGAGTACTTGTAAAAATGCTGATATTGGGACACATACTATTTCAAATGTTGCAACAGTATATAAAGGCCCTGTCACACAACTTATGCCAATGTATGAAAGGTTTGTCCAGCACTAAAGATGTATATGCAGAAAATGGAATAAAAAATGTACTGGACGTGTACATACTGTAATGCTAAAAAATAAATTTAATTATATACTGTATAGCYGATATAAGTGAAAGAGTCATGAAATTTTCACAAGTTGGCATGTTGTCTAGAACATTATAGTGTGACAGGATCTTAACATGCTGTACATTTCATTGATTCAGTCAGGGGGACTGCAGGTCCAGGACAATCAACCTTGTTCTAATAAAAGAAAAGTGTTTTTAAAGTCATTGTGTTATGTTTAAGTTCCAACTCAGTAAGTACCAAAGGTTTTGGTACTTGGTATCAGCGAGTACCCAAACTGACTCGTACACGATTTGAGAAAACATACTGGGACACCCCTACAAGAGCTGAAATTTACCCAGCGCTGATGCTCCTTTGTTCTGTGAAATGTGGTAGTAACAGAGCTGAAACAGACAACATGAAAGGGTCAGCTGATTTTATGGCTCAATAATGTGATGAACTGATGATGTATGACCACCTGATCATGAGAACAAGAACAAACAGATGTATTTATGATTATCTGTGTATTTTGAGTTTATTCTTTACCCCCTTTGGTTTTATCTTCATGTTTGTGTTTGATTTTACGTTCTTATATGTTCAATTCCTCAGTGTAGCTCTGCTCTTGCCACACCCACCCGATCCTCATCTTCACAGGTGTTTGTCATTTAGTTCGTCAGTGTTTCCCTTTATCCGTTTGGTCCTCCCACATCTGCATTAAACCTACTCGGTGCACCGTCCCAAACTTCTTTTTCCTGATCTGAGCTCCTTGAGTTATTTCCACAGATTTGTCAGTAGAGTTGGCAGCAACTTTTGTTTCTTTGTTCTTAAATTGTTTACTTATTACTCTCGAGGCCTGTTTGCATCTTGGGGTTTGCCAAAACTACTGGCAGCATCACTGCAGAAACTGATGGTGGGATAGAGATTTATGGTGATGCACGGCAACTTCACTTTAAGTTTAAAGCATATTTGACCACAAAGATGGACAACTAAACTGAGTTATTTCATCACATTTTGAAAATGATATGAAGGAGACATATACTGTAGTTTTGTTTTGATTTAAATACAAGGTTTTTCTCTTTTTAATGTGTTTTAGCCAGCTTCCCATGTGAAAAGTAATTATCATCTTATTTCTTTTGTTTGCAAGTATTGTCAGAAATGTATTTTTTCAACTTTGTTTAAGATTAAGTTTAATCTTTTGTTGATCTGACACCTCCGGCTGTTTCCATTAGATAAGTAAATGTTGAGGTTATGACACTAAAGTTGAAAAAAAGGAGCAGCTTACTGGCTTCTTTCAGTCTCTTTGTGTGATAACCTCATTTGCTGCAAGAAACTTTGGTGAACTTTGCCTGTTACTGCATCGACTCCACACAAGAAACTTAAAAACTTATCTCAGCAACAAACAATTTGTTTCTCTATTATTTCCCCATTTTGACCTTCAGTTTGCTTTTGACCTAAAGTACACAAATTTGTCTGCCATCGTTCCACCGTGCATTTCTTTTGCACCCTTTTCTGCTCTTATTGATCACTTCATTGATTGCATCACTTTCTGAGATCCTTTGGCTCTAACATTTTCACCAGCAGTTGGCTGAAATATTGATAACCTTTAAATACAAGCTTCTGCAGCAACACAATAAACACAAAACAGTCTTGTGATTCTAAGGTAAGAGCGTTGTTTTCTTTTCACATAAACAGACTGGATTGTCAGATTGTATATAAAATGAAAACATAATGGTTTGAAGTTCACCATAGAGAATAAAAGTCAGGATTAGGGGCCATCTTTGTTTCATGAAGATTCCTGGTTGTAATGGCAGCCATTAATCKCTGTCATTTGTCACTCCCTGTGTGTCGATCCCATAAGATCAAACTGTCTGACCAAGGGGAACACATTTCACTCCAGAATGCCTTGATAGTCTTGAGATTTTATTAAACCCTGCACAGATATTAAGTTAGATGCAGCAAAGCAGCTCTAAAATATAACTGGGCCTCCTCATGGTTCACTGTAATGTGCTCTTTTCTTTCTGTGTATTTGTTAGGTTTGTTACTATAGAGCTGATGTAACACATTGCCATAAAGCTCCAATTTTGTCTCATCTGTCCAAAGGACATTCTTTCAGAAGCTTTGTGGTCTGTCAACATGCCTTTTGGCAAATTACAGTCTGGCTTTTTCTATGACTTCATGTCCTTCTCTGTTGTCATCCATTAAGTTCACTTTGGCTGAAACAGAGACAAATGGTACGCTCCGACACTGATGTACCTTAACTTTGGAGTTCACCTCTAATCTCTGTGGGAGTTGTTCAGGGCTCTTTCAATTTGTCATCAATTTTTCACTTGTGTCCACGGATGGCTGCAGTCCTGTGGACCTAAAACTTCTGAATCTGTGCAGCTGTAGTCACAGGAACATCCAGTTTACACTGTAAATGTCTGTCAATGTTTATTTTCCTGAGCTTTTAAAACATTTCTGTCCTTGGCTTTCTGTGCTCCTTAAGTCTTCTTATTCTTCTTCTTCATATATTTTATTGGTGGTTGGCAAACAACTTGTGGTGTGTTCAGATCTCTTGTTTAGATCTGACGAGGCTGGAACCCATTTTTGCATTGCAAATCTTAAATAAATCAACGACAACCAGTTTTGAAGTGCATCTTCTTGTTTATTCACGTGTTTCTGCCTTTTAAAAAACTGATTTCCACAACAGTGTGCATTACCACCACCTACTGGTGTGGGTGAAAACGCTATATGACTGTATTGTCTGTATGATTATTACTTAAAATATTTTATTATATTCACTGAATCTTTTTGTACTTGTATTTGATAAACTCTTTTCCATACTGAATTATTTAATTAAAAATTAATCATATTCTGTTAATTAACTTTGTTTTCTTTAAGAATCTTATTAAAATGTTAATACTTTTGCTTCTTGAATCTTTCTGTAATAAATTTAATATATTGAATATTTCTTTAATCCTTCTGAATTCCTCCATCATGTCTTTTCTCTGTCTCTCATATCTTTTACATGTTAATATCACATGTTCTATTGTTTCTATCAATCTACAATATTGACAGTTTCCATTTTCATGTTTTTTTATTATAAAGAGTGTGCTGTTAAGTCTGGTGTGTCCCAATGTCAATCAAGTTACTAGTCTCTTTTTCTGTCTGTTTCTCCTAGTTACTCTCATTTCTCACACTTTCCTTTGGATCTTATAAAACCATCTTCCTTTTTTCTTCGTTCCATTCTTTYTGCCACTTTTCCATCAGTTTTTGTTTGACCAAAACTTTTGCCTCAGATTTACTTGTWTTGATTTWGAAGTTGATTTGTCCTGCTCCATAAGTGTGTTACTTCTCACTCTTTAAATAGGCAAACTGACTGATTACAAAATTGAAGACACCCATAATGCTGATAACAAGGCACACTTGAGTTTAACATGTACTATGGTCAAAATACTTTTGATCTTTTCTTAGAGTACCATCCTGTCAAAGCCTGTTTCACTTACTTGCTTTTTTAAAAACAATTATGTTGAAATATGAAGCAATCTGGTTTTCATTGGTTGATTCTTATGTTTGTTTTTACTTGTCAGTTTTGAGCTGTTTCAGTGACATTTGTGTTTTTTTCTCCTTCTTCAGTACACAATCAAATTGCCTCTGTCAGTCAGCCCCAGGGCAGCTGTGGCTACAACGTAGCTTACCATCATCAGTGTGTGAATGTGTGTGTTTCAGGTGAATGACTAAGTGTAAAGTGTTTTGGGGTCAAGCTGGGCTTGATAAAGTGCTTTAAGTTCAGACTTTTTACCATTTTCCAAATTTGTGTCTGTCTRAAACTAAGTTTCAGTTAGGGTAGCCTATTTGATGCTAACTTGTGCTTTCATTTAATGTCATAAGAAAAACAAAATTCTACCTCATTGTTGGTCCATAATATTTATTGGCAGATTTTTCTACAAACAGAATTCTGCTAAAGAAAAAAATTAGTAACAAAAATTAAGTCAAGTATTTTACAAACTTAAATCAGAATCAGAATCAGTTTTATTGCCATTGTCAGTGATAAACACAAACTAAATGAACTTGCAGTTAAATTGAACTCTAAATACATTTTGCTTAAACTTAAGATGTATTTAATGGGTTTTAAATTGTCATATTAATATGTTACTTAAGCAGAAACAAGTTGGTTTGTGTTCCACTGTTATGTACTTGTTTATGCACAGAAACAAACACAACCATCCTTTTTTTTTTTTGCATACTTTGCTTTTTATGGATGTAAGCTTGTGAAAAACGAACCACAGGCGAACTGGGACTCTGGTGACACTCACAGACTATATATTTTAATTTCCACCTGTCAAAAAGAGACAAAGCTTTCTATTTTCCCTGATATAAACCTCTTTCCCTGACTTGCAGGATTACTGTACTTTCGGGGTCACTTGCCTCGGTCAGGAGAAACAGGGAACTGTTGGTTCTCTTAGTCAGCTATTCTAACTAAATCTAAAGTATATTTTTCTTAAGATGATTTTTTTTATAAAGGTGAAAATACAGTACATCTGCTCTGGTGACAAACTGATGATTCTGCTTAACCAATAAAAAATGTCCTTTTAAAACAAAGTGGAAATTTTTTTAAACAAAGAAAATTAACACTCGAGTTACAAGCGAGACCTTTTTTATTTAATTTTATTTTAGTGCCAAGTGACCCAAAGCTAATCAGTAGAGGCTGGATGAACAAACGTCTGCATGCAAGCGTGAGCACTCTGTGGTTTCTGGGTTGCAGGTGCTACAGTGACAGCTCCGGGCCACCGGGTAGGTGATGCCCATCGGACACCCGTCAATATGGGTCACCRCGTAGGACCAGTCCCCGTTGCAGACGTGCTGTTCAGGCAGGTTGACATGGCTGTCGTATATGGGATCCTGCCACCAACACAAGCAGAGTAAAATTAATAATTTAGTCTCTCAAACAAATGAAAGAATATTCTTTTTTTTAAGCATAATATTCTAATGATGTTTTATATTTAAGATATTCGAAAACAAATGTAAAAAAAATTAATGTATATTTTCCACCACCTTTCATGCCAGACTTTCAGACTAAGATCAACTCATGTTGAGAATGACTTTATGAGAAATTAAAAAAGTTTTAGTTATTTTTAAATTAGCTATTGTTGATCAGCTGTGGTGGCCATCTTGAATTGGATCGACTCCAAAAGTGAATGTCTTGTAGATGTACATGTAATGATTATTTTCTGAAAGTTTCTTCTAAAGCCATTCAGTGCTTCATGGGATATTTTGCTAACAGACAGAGTTGACGTCAGCGGGTGTTATTAACATTTTAAGCACAGATCTTTTACAATATGAAAACTTGTGGCGTGTGTGTGTGATATGTAAAAGATTATTAACTACGAACACACCAATTAGTGCACTGTATGTAAAAGTGACTCAATTATGTCACATTTTGTGTTTTATATATTCAATTGGCTGTGGCAGCCATCAGTTGCAGAGGTGCATCCAGTGATTATTTTCAGAAAGCTTCAATGAAATTTGCTCAGTGGTTCATGAAATATTTTGCTAACAGACAGTTGATGGCAACATTTTAAACACAGCCCTTGCCCAATCGGTTCACACTTAGATTATTATTTTTAGATTACTATTTGTAACAATGGCAAATTTGTTGCTGTTTTGGTGGTTTTGTTATGTAGTTATTTAGTTGGTTTAGGCAGCCATCTTCCATCTGGCTGCCTCTAAAGGTTAATCACTTGTAGATGTGCATCCAGTGATTATTTTCTGCAAGTTTCATTCAAAGTTGTCCCATGGTTCATGAGATATTTTGCTAACAGACACCCATGCATTGGCAAAAAACAACATTACCCACCTTCCTCTTTTTGCAGTGCACWATATGGAATACTTGACTAAATTAAAAATAAATATCACAGTTTGAGAAAATCTCTCAAACTTGATTGGGCCAAACTCAAATGAAAAATCTTCCCTGTCACAACCTGCATTTGGAGTTATTGATCAGATTCCAGTTTATGTTAAAAACAACAAAACAACAAGCAGGCCCGCTGTGAACCCTCCGTCACCTCTTGGTAGCACAGTCCTTCACATATGGTGGTGTGGATGAACTTGACGGGGCCGCAGCCCTCCACGGGGATGCTGACGTTCTTCAGATGACAGACTAAGCTGCAGCCCTGCTCCGCCTCCGCCAGCACCAGCAGCGCTGCCATGACAACCAGCCGCATCCTCCACCTGGCGCAGCGTAGACACCTGCCGCAAGAGGTGGTCACAGCTCGTATAAATGAAGGGACAATAGAACTGGAGCTGGAGGTCCGACCTGCTGATCTGAATGGAAAGTTTGGCGCTTTGCCTCAAAACGGTTGTGAAGCCTTCTGATAGTGCAGCCAAATGATTTCACTTTGGAAAACTCTTAATGCAAGAATTTATTATTTTGTGAGGAAGCTAATGTTTTTTTCAGGAAAGAAACTATTGTTAATATATTTGATAATTTAAGTTAATTTATTAACCTAATAGTTTGAATCATTTTGCATAAAGAGCTCATCTCAGAGTCCAAAAGTTGAAAACTGACAGTGAGGGCATAAAGAAGTTAACATTACTCAAACCTGGTGGCTCTTCATTTGTTAAAATTCAAACGCATGATATTTTTACATCTAACTGGAATAAATAATCTTTCGTTTATAGTTTTCACTTAATAAAATACCTGTTTAAAAGCTCAAAGTATATAAAAAACCTGCACATTATTTTTGTCTTATTCTGGGTTATTGTCATGAACGAATATTTCAAAATAAAATGAAGCATCTTCACTTAAAGTCCCATTTTTAAGTGTGACTTTTTATTAAATTGTTGCTGAAACAAAGAAATGTTTCAATATATCAAGACTTTAATAAGTGTGAAACAGAAATAAACTGAACAAATGTTAATATGTGAAAAACAAAGTGACAAAACATTCATTGGGCTTTTCTTTTTCAAAATAAGACGGTCAAATAAATATGCAGAAATAATGATGATCAAGTTGTTATTTAAAAATATAACTCCTTAGTGTTCACATTAATCCTGAATCCTGACAAACTGAATAATTTCTGGTTCTTTGGTGATTTTTGGCTTGAAGAAATCTTTGTCAATTTATCATTTGAAAAATGTCTTGTTTTTAATTTATTTAGAATTTTTTTCTAGCAAATTTGTTTTGTTGCTTGTTTTTACTAAAAAAAGAGTGTAAAATCTCTTAAAGCAGCTGATCAGTTTCAGTCAGAATCTTACCTGTGGAGCTCCGGTGTTGCTTTGAACTCAGCTGAAAGTGCTGCCTCTTCTGTCCCTCTCTGAACATCTGTCACTCCTTCACTTCTTCAAATACTGCTGCTCATAATCCTGTTAATCTGCTCGACCTTGCATCGGCCCTGCATCGCCTACCTGTTTTGGACTYGAAGCCAAATCCCCGTCTTTTTCCTGTCAACAAGCTGAGGAGCGACGCATGGCCCAAGGCCTTCCCTCCTACACACCAGGAGGAGCGACTCCAGAAATCTGCTTTGGATTACAGCAATGAAAGGAAGATTAAAAACACACTCCCACAGTCAGATGGAAAACACTGATACGACAGGTAGTAATTAATTTAGATAAGAGGTCTTTGTGAAACCTCACAAAGTCAGCTTAAAGTTAGAGTCTTGATCCTCAGACCCTTAAGAGCCATTATCTTTTATTTTAAATTGTTCCGTCAGACTGAAACTGTCCCAATCTGTGTCTCTAGTTTCAGATTCACAGTGTAGAATTAAAACTGGGCATAAAGAGAAAACTCTAAAACTTTGTAACTTTAGACTTGGAAGTGGGAACAAAAAACAAACGTCCAAAAGTGAACAAAAACATTTATCAGAAGCTTTAAAGTAGATTTATTAATTGAACTGAATGAAAACATGAAAAAGATAAAAGTTTTGTAA